AGATTATGGCTCTAATTTATTTCTAAGTCATCTCTACACCCAACGCGGGGCTTGAACTCCTGACCCGAGATCAAGGGTCAGATGCTCTTCTGACTGAGCCAGCCTGGTGCCCCATGGCTCTAATTTTTAAATATTTGAAAAGTGATTACCATAACAAATGGTTTCAGACATTTCTGGCTTTCTCAGAGATCAAAAGAAAGATGAAAATGCTCATTTCTTTTGACCCCAATAAAACATTTCTTATTATTGCAGATATGATTAACACTACGTGGCAGGTTTTGTTTTAGACGTCATGTCACCTTAAAAATGGAGTGACTGTTACCACTATAAAGGAGGGAAATGCTCTTTTAGGGATGGCATTTCAAAAGGTCAACACATTCGCCCAATTCAAAGTGTACTTTTGGGGGGGGGGGCGGTTACAGCAGTTTTATCTTCCCATCTTTGAAATGACTCCTATGCTTATGATCTTCAGTACCAGTCAGTCAACTGGATTGAGCCCCTATCAAGTGCTACGTAAGAGAAAGGCCAAAGGAAGAAACAGACAAATAGGAGAGCCCCCCCCCCCCCCCCGCCCATGCTCCAGCAGCATGCGTTCAAGGGGAGAAGCCCAAACATGAAGTCGAAATGGGTACGGAGCACGCCAACTACGGAATGGCGTCTCCAAGGAAACACATGTAGGGTACGCCTGGAATTTGAGAGGTATGCCTAATTATACTGAGACGTTTACCCAGGCAAAAGATGATTCTTGACCACGATGTTGCTTTGCATGTGTGGTCTTGCCGTTTCCTTTGCCTCGGATGCCCTTCCAGCCCAACTTCCCCTAATGAAATGCTCTGATTTAAGGCCAGTTCAAAGGCTCCCCGTTCCATGATGACCAGGTTTGCCCCCACCTTGACTCCTCTGTTGCACTGGAAGACAGAGCCCACCCATCTCTCCTCCCTGGAGTTCCATGAGTCACACTTCTCCTTCCACCTCTTGATCCCTTCTGTTCTGTCCCCTTTGACGTATCTGCTTCTTTTCCTAACTGTGCCTTGAATGTGAGTGTTAGGGAATTGTGCTGCAGGGGTCCTACCTGCCTGTGTGCACGTGACCTCTCCGAGCCCGTATCTCCCAGTGATGACCCCTTCCAATTTCTTGAGCTGATTCCTGGGCCATCCACTGGGATGTTATTATCATCTGCCAAACTCAACATGTCCAACCTGGACTCACCTTCACCCCTGGCCTCTACCCTCACTCCAATTTCCTTACTTAAATCCAGAGCTTACCGTGTCTTCTGAGCTTCTTAGGGCTCTAAATGGTGACACCTTCTTTGATTCAATCCTTCTTTTTCACAGTCAGACAGGTTAGGATTTAGCTCAAGTCTTATGCCCTCCATGAAGCCGGCTCTCTCCACTCTGGAGTCTTCCAGACTCCAAATTTGCCGGCACTATTCGGTTGATCTCTTAATCATGAGTGGGGCTTATAGAGACATGTAACTGTTCTGTAGGCTAAAAGGACTGAAGTCTTGCTGTTCTTCACTTGAAATGGCTCTCATTTTTGTCTCTTCCTACAGGTCAACTCCTCCCCCCACCTGCTCTACTCATCTCTTCTCGCCTTGAGCGGTTAGCGTAACAGCCCCGCAATGTCCGCCCTCCAACACAGTCTGCTTCCTCCCCCTGTGTCAGTGTTTAGGCTCACAAAGAAGGCTCTTCTTCCTCTTGTCTGATTGGCCGAATCCTCCTCATTTTCCAAGAGGGAGGTCATTGCCCACTTCTACCAGGAAATCTTCCCGGATCTTCCAACGCAACCAGAAGCGTCTCTTCTCTGGGAGAGAGTGTTGAATAGAATGCGGGAAGTGGACTTTGGAGCCAGACGAAGCCGGGTTTGAATTTGAATGATGTCGCTCACTCACTGCACCACCTCCATTTGTCTGAGCCCATTTCCTCATCTATAAAACAAGAGAAAATAATGTCCCTCTTGCAGAGCTGTTGTGAGGATTAAGTAAGATGATGCCTATAAGGTGTCTGGCACGTGGTAACAACTATTATTACCACGTAGGCATTGAGTGTCCTCGGAGGCTGGCACATGACATGACCCCAAGGGGTGTCTCAGTGAAAAGTGCTCCTTGCCTTCGTGAGGCACACAACCTGTACACGGAACCCCGGGTCTAATGTGTCTAGCATTGGATGCTTGCTCAGTTCTTCCAATGTGTTTTGGTGTTTTACAATCTGTAAGCTTCTGATGAGAGGATGAGGGAGGGAAGTGCTGGTTCTCTTGGCGCACGGTCTGGTCCACTGCCACTTCTTTTTCTTTTTCTTTTTTTTAAGGATTTCATTTATTTATTCATGAGAGACAGAGAGAGAGGCAGGGGGAGAAGCAGACTGAGCAAGGAGCCCGATGAGGGGCTCGATCCCGGGACCCCGGGAGCATGACCTGAGCCAAAGGCTGACGCTTAACAACTGAGCCACCCAGGCACCCCACTGCTACTTCTCTAACCTCATCGCTTGCTACCATCGACTGCCCTCCCCCCACCCCCCCTCCCCCAGCCATCGTATTGGACTAAACTACTTGCAGTCCTTCTGATGGCCATAGCTCGTATCGTCTACACAGGCTTTCTCTGGGCTGGAATAGCCTCAGTTCCTTAGGCTTTTTTACTTGCCTCCTCCTGATTAGACTGTTGGTTTTTTGTTTTTTTTTTTAATATTTTATTTATTTGACAGAGAGAGACACAGTGAGAGAGGGAACACAAGCAGGGGGAGCGGGAGAGGGAGAAGCAGGCCTCCCGCGGAGCGGGGAGCCCGATGCAGGGCTCGAACCCAGGACCCCGGGATCATGACCTGAGCCGAAGGCAGACGCTTCACCGACTGAGCCACCCAGGCGCCCCTAGACTGTTGGTTTTGTTCACCAGTGCAGCTCGGCGTCTAAGATAAGGCCTGGGACACAGGGCAAGCTCAAGAAACGTTTGTTGAATGAATAGACTGTTTTCGAGGTCTCCGTTCTGGGTTTTCCTCAGGGAGGGGCAGGAGCTTTTTTTTTTTTTTTTTTTAAGATTATTTATTTATTTGAGAGAGTGAGAGAGAGAGAGAGATTGAGGAGCAGAGGGAGAGGGACAAGCCGACTCTGTGCTGAGTGTGGAGCCCGACCTGGGGCTGGATCCCACCACCCTGAGGTCATGACCTGAGCCTAAATCAAGAGTAGGGCACTTAACCGACTGAGCCACCCAGGCGCCCCAAAGGGGCAGGAGATTTTTAAATGAGCTGTTTCTTCAACTACCATGAATGCAAGGGACTGAATGTTTGGGTGTCCCCCAAATTCATATGGTGAAATCCTAACCCTCAGTGTGCTGGCATTAATAGGTGGGCCCTTGGGAGGTGATCAGGTCATGAGAGTGGGGCCCTTGTGCATGGGATTAGTGCCTTATAAAAAGGACCCCAGAGAACTGTCTTGCTGTCTTTCTGCCATGTGAGGACACAACCAGAAGACAGCAGCTTGCAACCCGGAAGAGTGTGTCACCAGAATTTGACCATACCGGCACCCTGATCTCGAATTTCTAGCCTCCAGAACCATGAGAAATAAATGCTTGTTGTTTATAAGCCCCCCAGTCTATGGTACTTTGTTAGAGTGGCCTGAACAGACGGAGACAGTGACTGAATTTCTACTCATCCGCTGAATGAGTATCATATCATGCCCATTGTGTACAATATCATGCACATTGTGTATAGTATCATGTACATTGTGCTAACACTGTTGCTTCTTAATAGGTGTGCAGCCTTGGGCAAGTTTCTTAATCATTCTGTGTCTCAGTTTCCTTATTTGTACAGTGGATCAAGGTTGTAGTGAAGATTACATGAGATGCTTTTACTATTTGGAATGTTCTCGCAGATCATCCCAGGACTGGCTCCTTCTTCACATCAAGTCTCAGTTCAAATGACAAGTCTTCAGAGTCCCTGACCGCTCTGACCCCTTCTCCAATTTCTCTCGTATTACCTGGTTTCAAGTTTTTTCATGGCATTCATTGTTATCTGAACATATTGTTGTTTACTTATTTATTAGCTGTGTGACCTCAATTTCTCTGAGGCTCAGTTTCTTTTTTCTTTTTTTAAAGATTTTATTTGACAGAGAGAGAGAGAGATAGTGAGAGAGGGAACACAAGCAGGGGGAGTGGGAGAGGGAGAAGCAAGCTTCCCGCCGAGCAGGGAGCCCGATGCGGGGCTCGATCCCAGGACCCTGGGATCCTGACCTGAGCCGAAGGCAGACGCTTAACGACTGAGCCACCCAGGCAACGCTGAGGCTCAGTTTCTATTCACTGTCATATCTCAGTGCCTAGAATGGTACCTGAAATGTAGTAGCACTCAGGGAATATTTGTTGAATACATTTACCCACTTTTACCCTTCCAAGGGTTTGAGAAAGCTAATGGTTAGCCAACCCTGGGTGAAAATTTTCTGATCACAAAAGTCAGGGAACAAAACTCCTTCCAAAGTGCTATCGGTCTGGGACTAAATAGAAGATCCAGCCCTTGGCCTCAGGAGCTTACCATCTAGTTGGTGGGATGTGACCTGAGTAATTCTTAGAACCATTGGTGGTTTCTGAATCACTAGTGGAATCTAAACGTCCCACAAATGAAAAGTGGTACAGTCGTCGATCAGACTAAGAAGAAGGCGTGAGGCTCAGTGCCAGGTTGGGAGGTACAGAGTGTAAGTGAAATGGGGACATGGAGGGAGGGATTCAGTTGGGGGCCTTCAAGGAGAGCTCAATCATCCTAGATAGTAGAGACCAGGCACTCATGTTTGTAAAGCCCTTAGAACAGTGTTTGGCCCCCAGCAAAAGTTATGTGTGTGTGTGTGTGTGTGTGTGTGTGTGTGTGTGTGTGTGTGTGT